GAGTAATTCGTCCTGTTTGGGACTCGTCATCAGCTGGATGTACCTGCATTCAACTGCTTCAACACTACGACGTGCATTGCCCAAATCTTTATCAACCTAATTCAACAACTGGCTATATGACAATGAGGCTACGTGTTAGGTGGTTCACAATGGAAAGCTCAGCGAGCTGTTCGAAGTGAATACAGGAGTGAAACAAGTTGACTGCCTATTATCACCAGCTATGATATTCCTAATTGTGGTGGACTGGATTATGCATCAGACTGTGCATGGGGAGTCAGCAAACAGGAATACGTTGGACTGACCGATAAGAAGACTTTAGAAGATCTAGATTTCGTGCGCCGATGATTTAAGTTCAATGTTACATAAACTCGAAGACGTACAAGCAGGCGAAAAGCAACAAATTGGCTGAAGAGGCTGGCTAGCAGCGAAAACAGGACTCCAGGTGAACATAGAGAAGATGAAGGTGATGAATATAACCAACCGAAAGCAACAACAAAAACAACCAGCACCGATCACTATCAATGGGAGAGATTTGATAGGGGTTGCTTCCTTCACTTATCTAACCAGGAGGCACAGTTTCAAACAGAGGCAGTCGGAGCGGATGAAGTTGTCGAAGTTGGTAAGAATCGGAATGGCAAGATTCGCACGCCTTCATCAACCTGAAACCAGTTTGGAAATCTTCTGCACTCAGCCAGCATTAACAACAAGATTCGGATATTCAACACAAATGTGAAGTCAGTTAGTGTTTTTATACAGGTAAAAAAAACTTGCAATGCGTGTCATGAAAAGCATTTCCAACAGGCCACTGCAGACTTTTGTCAACAGCTGCTCCCTTCGATGGCTCCATACTGAATATCAAATGGCCGGCTGGCCGGAAAGAATTATCAACAAGAAACTCTGGCTAGCAACAAACGGACCAAGAGTCGACTGCTAAACAAATATGTAGGAGAAAATGAAGGTGGATTGGGCATACGTTGAAGAGGCCGTCCAGTGACATTGCCCTCAGTATAGACCATCTCTCGAGTGGTATCCGAATGAGAAGCGAAGAGTAGATCGTCAGTCCGACGGTAGCTTGAAGGAGATCGTTTGGTAAGGAGGAGATGAGAGATAATGGAGAGGTCTGCAGAAAATAAAAGAAAGTGGAGACGTGTTGTTGAAGCCCTATGTTCCACTCGGAACTCGAACGAATAATAATATGTAATCGTAGCATAAGGAAAAATCACACCCGAAGAAACAAACAAACAAATTAAAAGACCAACAAATACAGAGATTTAGATACCGCGCACCCACATAATTATCTTGTCATTGTCGGATTTGTTCTGCATAAGAAACACTTGATTTTCAAGAGTTAATTTGTTTGCTAATGTATTGATATCAATCAGTTTTCAATGGTCCTCTAACTGATATCAATCCGTGATCACATTTGAAAAAAAATCAAATATCTACAAATCAGCTCTTAAAAATTAGTCTAATGCTTACCAGTGACTGCCAACCGGACGAAGTTGCCTCAAATTCTGGTGACAAGTGATGATTAGTGGGATAAATCCTGTTGGGAGTGAGGATGAATACTCGCCGATAATACTGGCTCGTGGTTATGCTAATATCATGAACTCGTAGAATCTGGAATTTATGGGGCATTGGATGATAGAGTCCCAGTAACTAAATGGTCGAAGAGCTTACCTTGTAACTGGAAGCACCTGGGTTGAAGGGTCTGAAACTAGGACGAAACAACAGTCCAGTACTCATAGTTTTTCAGTAGTTCTCTAAAATGACATCAATCCGTGACGGGACTTGAAACACATGCCACTGAATTGTGGCCTAAGTGGCTGGATGGTAAACCATGAAGGTACATGGTTCGACCCCCAGTGGCGGTGTTGTGAGTGTGCACTGCTGAAGAGCCATAGGAGAGGACGAAATAACTGTCCTGTGTGCCCCATTTTTCAATGATTCTGTAGCTGATTTTGCTTCGTTATTAAATCTACATTGAAACACTTAGTTGATTTAAAACTAGTTCCCTTTATGAATTAACATAAAACAATAAGAAGATGTAATTTGTCTGAATCGTGTGTGTAGTGTATTTGCGCAACACATCTCGAACAGTCTGATCCATAACACACGGACCTGTCATAGGAACATGTATATGTGAAATTAATAAAGAGTTAAGAGGTGAGAAAATAGACTACTTAGGTCAAGTTAAAAAGACATATTAAAGGTCAGAATAACAATGAACATCGATCACTAAAGCAAATAACAGAGGTAATAGTACATCTACCCTGACTGGTATCAAAACAAAGTTCACCAAGGAAGGCGTTTTAGTGTGATGGCGAATTGTGTAAACTTTCTAACTGCCAGTTAGGGCTTCCACAAACTTTAGGATACTCCCTCCTCCAAACACGTTTTATAGATAGGTTTAAAAGACGTGTTAACGTCAATTTTATGTCCTTAGTTGATTACTATTCTCAGTTCAAATTCCACATCTGATTGGTTTAATCTCCAATCTGATGCTCACTAGTGACTGGCCCTATTCAGGTAGTTAACCTGGGGTTCTAGTGGGAAGCCGTGACCAGTAGGGTACAGCAGGTTGAATATGAGACAGTAACTCATCTAAGAAGACATTGCGAAATGGTCGCGCTATGTCGTGAATTGGCAGAAGTTAGAATTCAAGGACCATTGGATCGGGTCCCAGTGGCTCAATTGTCTACGAGCTCGCCTTGTAACCAGAAAGTCCTGGGTTCGAATCCCGGTGGGCGCGTACCGCTGAAGAGTCTCAAACTAGGACGAAACAGCTGTCCAGTACTCCCAGGTTTTCCAGTGGTTCTCTAACTGATGTCAGCTCATGATGAAATCCTCCATGCAATATATATATATATATATATTACCCTGGCTATCGTATTGAACGTATTCTTATGAATTTATAACAATGCAATCTGGGCAGGATGTAGGTGTTAGAATTGATTCCGGTCTCAGAATTGCTCCTGTTTTGAATAGATTGCTGAAATATGAATAGTAAAGCTTTTTAGTGTGCGTCAATGGCACAGCGGTAAAGTGCTTGCCGACCACGCAGGTAGTTCGAGGTTCGATCCTTGGCCGACGACTCACTCACTCACCTCGGTAATAAGACTGGTAAAGAGGGAAGATTGGGCATGAAGCTAGCAACCCCATCATGTAAAAATAATCACCACTTCAAGCCTGTAGCTTGAAGCCCCACCGATGACACTAGATGGTGCCAGTCGCTATAAGATCACGAATTGGTAGAAGTTAGAATTTATGGAATGGCCACTGAATCGGGTCCTAGTGGCTCAATGGTATACGAGCTTGCCTTGTAAACGGCAGGTCCTGAGTTCGACCCGCGCTGGTGGGTGCGTAGTGCCGATGAGTCCCAAACTAGTCCAGTACACCTTGTGGGTTTTCAATGGTTCTCTAACTGATATCAATCTGTGCTCTAACCTGAAATATATATATATATATATACATATTATAAAGCGTTAAAGGGCTGTAGAATAGGCATAGGCAGCGAAGTTACAAAAATGCAAGGTCAAAATAACGATGGAGATAATAGTACATCTATCCTGGTATCAAAACAAAGTTCACCAATGAAGATTTTATCTGATGACGAATTGTGTTTCAAACACGTAAGAGTGGTTTAAACTTCTTAATCGCTAGGCCTTTCACAGAATTGGCAATGTGCCCCAAATAGTCTTATAGTTAGGTTTAAGGGAGGTGTAAACGTCAATGTGATATCCTGTCTCTATAATATGTTTCCTAATCGAAGACTTAGGTCATTTGTTTTCACGATTAGTGGGTTCACGGGATTCAATTTACGTGTGAAGACATTTTGGGATATAATCTGAAGCCCTTATTTGCAAAGTTCATTGAGTACCCCTTACGTATTTGTGACCGCACGTACATTTAAGTTGATAAATACAGTAGGATGTGATATCATTTTCCGTATGTTTTATGGATTAGGATGGATATATATACTTCATATTGTCAATTATTCGGATCTTAGAAGTTTTTTTTAACCATAGCGTCCAACCAGTGTTAAGTGTTAAAGCTCCTGTGATCACCCCTGCATAGGGTAGCTTGATATATATGTCTTTCTTAACGCAGAGCTGGAGAAGGGGTTCTGGTGCACTGACCACTTTATATCTCCTTATGAACTCCTAAGGATAGTTAATACCAACCAGAGTTTCTGTTAGTTTTCTATCCTCACCTTCAGGTGTATCTTCTGTGCAGTATATCGGTCAAAGTGGGTGTCCCCTTCGAATACGAATCCAAGAACACAAATTGGCTGTAAAAAGGCATGATATATATTCTTTCATATCAACCAAGTCATGTAGATAATTATGGACACCAATTTTATTGGGATAATGTAGAAATTTTAAATGGAAGAAACATTCTATCTAAGTCACACCACCCTGTTAATTCACAACTTTCCACTTGTATCTCATTAGGCAAAACCAGAAGCCTATATAAAAACTATAAGCTCGAACCAGCAAGTACAATAGCTCAACCATACCCTACTTAGCTCGTGTTCTGTGCGATAAAGAAAGCATTAGGCGTGATACCTATAACTTATTAAATAGTCAGTTGAAAAACTCGACCTCGTCTTTCCAACTCATATCATTTATAGGTACAACATTTTCTTTCTTTCTTTCTCTTCCTATTCTCTCTCTCTTTTTTTCCCGCTATGTGCTGCTTTGTTTCTTTCTCTCGCTTACGCCAGTAAATACGATAGCACCTAATTTTCTAACACCTTCAAATAATGTTCAGCTTTGGCTTTGCTACCGACATGCCAATATGTTGTTGTCATAATGAACTGAGATTATCCTTAATCTATGTAGAATTTTATTTATTGTTAATGTACACAAACTGGATGCAATACTGTAGTAAAAATGCTGAGAATTCCATTCTGTATCACAAGTACTGTTTTGGAATAAAGCAAATTATTATTATTATTTAAAGGGTAATTTAGGAGAAAAAGTATTTTCCATTTTTAGCCTAGAACACTTGTCAATCGAATCAGAACATGCAGGAAGAACAGCAGCAGCAGCAACAACAACAAGACGAAGAAGATGGATTCAGTGAATACGGATACAATTACAAGGACACTTCATACTTCAAATAATGCAAGAAATTATGATAGATGTTCACTTGGCTCGATTGGACGAAAGGATATACAGTTAGTATAGATAATTTGTCTATTTTATAATATATATAATTCCTATTGCTTTATTGTTGTACATCTATGTTATTATTATTATTGTTTCCTTTAATTCCTAGAGGAACATAGGGCTTCAGTCGTGCGTCTCCATTGCGTTCGGTTCTCTGCTAGAGTCTTCACCTGGCTCCAAGTCTGTCCACACGTTTTCATCTCCTCTTCACATGACCTCCGCCAAGTCACCCTTGCACTGACGACCGACTCGCCGCTTCCCTTTCGGGTTCCACTCGAGCAATGGCTTGTCTAGTGATGTCACTTGATGGCTTGTTTCCTCAGAGTATGGCCAATCCATCTCCATTTCTTCCTGCTTATTTGTTTCACAATCGAACCCTGCTGTGTTGGTTCGCTCCCAGAGATCTCTGTTGCTGATCTTTTCTGGCAGGCCATCTGATCTTGAGTAGTATTGAGCGAAGACATCTGTTAATGAAGGTCTGTAGCTTGTTTGAGGTGCTCTTTGTGACATGCCAAGTCTCTGATCCGTATAGTAGTACTGACTTCACATTGGGGTTGAAAATCCGGATCTTATTTTTGATGCTGAGTGTTGTTGACCTCCACACAGAACTTGAGAGTAATGAAAGCTTGCCTTGCTTTCCTATCCTTGCTTTGATATCCTCGTCAGTTCCGCCTGCAGTTGAAACGATGCTTCCCAGGTAGGTAAAGGAGGTTGTTTCTTTCAGGTTACCTCCATTTATGCTGATTGTTTTCTGCTGTTGTTGTTGTTGCTGTTGGTGGTGTTGGCCAGGAATCTTCATCACCTCTGTTTTCTCTGTGTTCACCTGAAGTCCTATCTTTGATGCATCTTCTGCCAACTTGTTGCTTTTCGTTTGCATATCTTTCAGTTTGTGGGAAATCAGATATACATCATCGGCGAAGTCCAGATCCTACAAGTTTTTGTCTGAGTCCATTTTATGTCTGTTTCCTCATCATGGATTTCATCATGATGAGCTGATATCGGTTAGGGAGGAGGATATGTACATCCTGGATTCCACTGTCAGTCACCATTTACCAAACGTTTTCTAACCAATAATAAATGTTTAAAATTTGGGCACTGTGGTAGTAAGTAATCGCATATTAGTTTGTTTACTAGATATATTACATACACACAGTGGAACAGTATTATTATTTACTGGATGACAAAGTTTTGAACAACTTGGAAACGTGAATTTTATAGTTTTCTTTGTTCTCTCCTATTTGTCGTCGTTGGGATAGTAGAATATTCCAGATATCTGGCTGGACAGAGGTTGAATCATTCCTATTACACATGTTCTCTTCAGTTGATTCGATGAATAAAGCTTCCGTTATCAATCTCTCCCTCCCTGTTACACTAGATTTTAGAGCTGTCTGTCATCTTGTCCCTTCCTATGGTATGGTTGGGTGTAAGTGTGTGTACAATTGCATGTAGTGAGTGCTATAGCTGAACTTTTCTCCAGACTTCTTGTCTTATTCAAGTCAACTAATCTAGATTTTGCTGCTAGGGTTTTATGTTCGGCTAGTCTGACTGCCCCTGTTCTACTAGTTTGACCTTTGTATTTGACCTGACAATCATTGCGGGTTTGTTTAGTGGGCTGTTCCACAAGATTCTTTTACCAACAAATCTTCTTTCTAACTGAGTTTGTGGGTTTGAATGCCAGTCACTTTTATTCCTACCTGTAAGGTTTCTGAGGTTCTTTCTTTATATTGAAGTACTACTGATGATTTAGATTCCTTATTTTTATAGTTATAATAATAATGTTAATGACGACATACATGTTAAACATGCACAGGATAAAGGCAACACCAACAATAGGGAATATAAATCATCAGTAGTAATTCCGTACAAAGAAGAAACCTCATAAACGTTACGCAGAATTCTTAACAAGGCAGGAAGAAAAGTGGCATTTAAACTCCCCACAAACTGAATTGGAAAGAAGTTTTGTTGGTTAAAGGATCGTGCCTATGGAACTAATTGAACAAAACAATTTAGTTCATTTAATACCCCACCTGCAATGATCCTCAGGTCAAATACATAGGTCAAAGTAGTAGAACGGGGTCATTCAGACTAGCCGAACATAAAAACCTAGCAGCAAAATCTAGATTAGTCGACCCGAATAAGATAAGAAATCTAGAGGATAGTTCAGCTATAGCACTACATGCAATTATACACAATCATACCATAGGATCGGGGAGGATGACACACAGCTCTAAAATCTAATGTAACAGGGTGGATGGAGGGAGAGATTGATAACAGAAGCTTTGTTTATTGAATCAACTGAAGATAATACGTGTAATAGGAACGATTCAACACCTGTCCAGCCAGATATCTGGAATATTCTACTACCTCAACGATGACAAATAAGAAAGAATAAAGAAAACTGTGAAAATCAGTTTTCGAAGTTCTGTGATTATAATTGACGATATGATTATGAACAGTGATAAAGTTTGTTCGAAGCTGTGTCATCCAGTAAATAATAGAACTCTTTCAGTGTGTGTTTGTGATATATCTAATAAACAAACTAATAAGGAATTGGCTAGGGGTCGCGTTATATCGTGAATTGGCAGATGTTAGAATTCATGGGTTGGCTGGCCATTGGATCGGGTCCCAGCGGCTTAATGGTATACGAGCTCGCCTCGTAACCAGAAGGACCTGGGTTCGAATCCCGTTGGGCGCGTACCACTGAAGAGTCCCAAACTAGGACGAAATGGCAGTCCAGTACTCTCAAGTTTTCCGTTGGTTCTCTAACTAATGTCACCTCATGATGAAATCCTGTAACCAATCAAATCCCTATAAACCAACACTTGAATGTAATATGGAATTCTTCCAACCATTGTTTGCTAACTTCCCCAAAAATCAATGAAATTGAAACCCAATATAAATGATGGAAAATAATTGATTAAATGTCACCAGTTGTCATTTTACACGACAGATAGAGCATAATAAACACTAACAGTCGAAGACAACTAGACTCTTCATTGTCTTCCTATTTCAACGGATATATCTCACTGCTGTAAAAATCATGGATGGAATTGCAAGGTATATACGTTATCTGCTGAATAGCTGGATATCGTGTAAACCGGCAAATTCTGGACAAGCCATTTGTGTCGGCGAAAAGGTCTCATCAGTTATCAACTCATTGGAGTAAATACAACCTCCAAAATAAGTCACGTCATGAACACATTTAGACATTTCACCGTCTGCCCTGAAACTATGAGTTAGTACAGACCAGTCCAACAGTATCATCTTATATTCACCACCGACAAATCTGCTGTATTTTTCAACTATTGGTCTGTAGGGATTTGATTGATTGGTTACAGGATTTCGCCATGAGCTGACATCAGTTAGAGAACCACTTGAAGGCATTGGTTAGCGGTTGCGTTATGTCGTGGATTGGCAGAAGTTGGAATTCATCGATTGGCCAATGGATCGGGTTCCAGTGGCTCGTCTTGTAATCAGAAGGTCTTGGGTTCGCATCCTGGCGGTGAATGCATACTGATAAAGAGTCCCAAACTAGGACGAAACAACTCTCCAGTACTCCTGATGTCAGCTCATGGTGAAATACTGTAACAAATTCAATCTATATCAGATTAAAATTTATATTCAGAGTGTTGAGAAGACTGCCAGCATCATCACCTAGAAGGGCTATATCATCTGCATACTCTCAACCTCTGAATCTCTGAGGTTAATCAATGTCACATTCGTTAACACACCTATGAGGAAATAAAATAAAAAAAGTGGAGACATTGTGTATCCCTAACTGACACCGCTGGTTATTATCGCTTCAGGTGACAACTCTCTAAAAGTTCTTGCACAATTTTGTTAATTAGTGAGATATACTTCCTCAGGACTCCCTTCACGGCTTAGGATTGCCACAATACCTCTCTGTCGTTGGAGTCTGATGCTGCCTTCATGTCAAGAAATATGGCAAGCCTTGGGTGCCAGTAAGTGTGCCTATGTTCCATAATCTGTTGAAGGATAAAGATGTGATCTGATGAAGAAGATTTGTAGCTCAGGTGGATGATTTTGATGTGGTTGTGTTCCCATCAAAAGGCATATACCTCCAGGCCAACCTATTCAACCAAAAGCCCCCAAGGAAAGCACAAAGAAAGTCGCCCTGCCATATATAAACGATGTAGCAGAAATCACTGCAAGACTCGTCAAACCTTTAGGAATTGATGTCGCACACAAACCAACAAAATCACTTCTATGTCAACCAAAAAAGTCAACAGCGAAGGAAGACAAAACCAACATCATCTACAAAATAGATTGTATCAACTGCGAAAAACACTATATTGGCCAAAGTGGATGTTCCCTTCGTCTTCGTATCCACGAACATAAGCTAGCCGTCAAAAGACATGACATCCACTCCCTCATATCATTACATACAGACAACCACGGGCATCAATTCGATTGGGACAATGTTCAAATATTAGACAAAGGAAACAACAAAAATGCTAGAGAATTTTTAGAAGATTGGCATTCCAGTGAATCATAAATCAATAGAAACATCGAGATAGACAAAATTTATCAATCGATAAGAAAGAAACCTCACACACACACAATGGTCAAAGTTCAAATCAAAGAAACAATCAGTTCCAATACAAGTAGCCTAGAAGGTGTGAAAACACACAAAAACGACCAATCACTTTCGAGGTCACCAGGAGAGAAGATTAACGGTGAACTCACTTCAAATTGAAGTATGTGCTGAAGATGTCACCTAGTAGTATGATGAAAGCTTCGCAAATTAACTATCCAGCTTAGAGAACACAACCACATCAAAAAGATGTGATCAGTATACTCTCGTCATAACCTAAAATCTATGTGGATATTTCACGGGTTAATTTCTCCTGAGCACTGCTCAGTTTGCTCATGATTATCTAGCCTAGAATTTTAGATAGTATTTTAATTGAGGTAGTCCTCCAATGATTATCACAGGAGGAATTGTCTCGCCTTTCCTAAAAACTGGAATAATTAGGGATTTCTAGTG